TATCACTGCTGCTGGCTGAGTAGGAGAGAGGAGCGAAATATTACTTCCCATTTGTTCTCCTTGGAGGAAGTCTAGGACCAGGACAGGAGGGGCATCTGATCTGAAAAGGTCAGAGAATGACATTTCAAGGTCCTTGACATCATTTTAAGTGGTCTCATCCAGGCTGCATGGCGTCAGTTATCTGCCATTCTCCTTAATGCTGTGACCCCAGGGTGGCCTTTACCACTGTTTTGCACAGAGAGCTATGGGACCCTGTCCTTGTTCAGAGTGAATGGAAAGAGTAGAGTATTTCTTTGAACAATTAGGCTGACTGCCCAGTATCTTCTATGTAATGTCACTGTAAAATCAGTTTCTGAATTGTTTTCTTATCTCATGACTTTTAGTTATTTGTCTTTGTGTGTGTGTGTGTGTGTAAGTTTGAGTGCACATGCCCACCGAAACCAGAAGAGAACATCAGATCCCTTGGAGCTGAACTTAGAGCTATTGTGAGTCTTCAGCAAAAGCAGCAAGTGCTTTGAACTAAGCCATCTCTCCAGTCCCTCCATTCTATGTTTTTTAAGACAGGCTCTCTTAGTAAATCTGGAACTCCATGACGTGGCTAGATTGCCTGGCTAGCACACCCCAGGGATCTTACCATGTCTTCCTTCCCAGTGCTGAGATTACAGTCACACACAGCTGCACCTAGCTTTCTCAGGGATGCCCTGGATCTGGACTCTGGTCCTCATGTTTGTATGAACAATTTCTTAATGAGCCATCCCCAGACAAGGTTTCCTTTATGGCACTCACAGTCAGTAGCTGGAATACATAATTAAAAGAATGTACCCATAGGTGCCAAGCATTTGGTTATATCTCCTCATGGTTTGCTGACAGAATTCTACACAACTACAACTAAGGTTTGATAGTTCTATTACCTGCATACCTTATTAGGTTAAAAAGAGCTAAAAAGCAAAGCAAGATCAGCGGCATGTATCAGGCAGGTAGAATCTTCTCATTATTTCCACCTTTTGATTTTGAGCCTTCCTTTATAGAATGTTCTTATTGCAGCAGTTAACACCCAGTTTTAAATTGCTGACTTACATGTCGTGGATATACATCTGCTTTAGTAAAGATGGAGAGTGCCCATAAGCCCAATTTATTCTATAATTCTTTCTTCCTTTTTATTAATTTTGTTGTGACAGTTTCACACCTGCATGTAATATATTGTGATTCCTCTCTCCCTCTCCCACCTCCTTTTACCCCCCCCCATCTCTATCAATGACTTACTCTATTTTTTAATCCCTATTCAAAAGTCAGGACTTTTGGGTGTATAGCCATGTCCAGGGTCACCTTTGTGACCACTGGATTGGAGCTATCCCCAGGAGCCTGCTGTGGTCATCAGTGAGGAGTAGGGCCACCCCAAGGCTTTCCTCCATCCCTGCCTGACTGTGGAGGGGCCAGTTCTTACACAGACCCAGTGCAGCCATCCACAGCTACTGGGAATGCATGGTTGCAATGGCTGTGCTTTGCCCAGAAGGTCATTTTGGAGTTCTTTTCCCTGTCTTCTGCCACAGCGTTCCCTGGACCATAGAAAAAATAGTTTAAAATGCGTGTTTGAGAATGAGCACTCATCTGTGCCTATTCTTAGCATCTTGAACAGCCATGAGTCTCCGCATTCACCACTCTTTACCAAAAAGAATGGCTTCTCCGATTAAAGCTGGGAGTAGCATTTGTCTATGGGTAGAAACATACATATTTAAAAGGCAACAAGACAGTGTGTCTATTTAGCCAAACAACAGTATTCAGCTCCCAGTTTCCAGCACACATGACTCAGTACTTACATTCTATTAAAATTCTACACACTGGAAGCTCCATTTGTAGGAAAGATGAGAACGCTCACAGATGTCCCATCACTGCCTAAAATGTTTTCCCAATATCCACTGCTTCCCATCCATAGCCTCACACTTCAGAACATCAGCCGTTTTGGGAGGCGGTCACATGCCTTTATTGTGCCTACATAGGGGAGTGAAGTACATCATAGGTGGGTAAGAACTTCTGGAAAGGATATGTTTTCCAAGTCTAGAGAGGATTGCTACCAGGAGGAGCTGGAACAGGGAAGGAGAGAAGTAGACATGATGTAAATACAGCACATGCATATGAAATTCTCAAAAGAATTAAAATTAAAAAGAGAGGATGCCGTATCTGTCTTTATAGCCAATCATATACAGAAGAACTCATCATTCTCTTTCAGTTTAGAGTCACCTCCTTGTACAGATGCTTTGTGAATGTTGACTGACAGCGATGCTGGAGGAAAATGCCAATGTCCCACATGCTTATACAAGGAAGCTGCAGTTTTAAGCACTTCCCATCTTTAGCTCTTGGGTCTGATTTCTAAGATTTATTCTTCTGAGATAAAAGGCAAATTGAAGGGTCTCTAATCAATGATAATGGTTAGTGTTAATGAATTAGCCTGCAACTAGAGCATGGTTCAGCTGTTAGTTCCCATTCTGCATCCCAGAGATGAAAGGTTAGCTTCCCTGTCGAATTCAGGCAAGCAGGTTCTTGGGAGGAAAGATTGAAGGCTTGAAATCCACACTGTGGAGTATATACTCTCCTGCCCTTTGCACCAACAGCCTGAGAACTGACTCCCTTTTAAATGTAGGGTTGAGTTCAGTTTGTTACCAATGATTCTTAGCATCACCTCACTCCTGGTTTCACCATTCCTCAGTTATTCCTGCTGGAACATGAACCCTGTCTTGGGAAACAGGAAGAGCGAGTTACAGTTACGCCAGCCACACAATCCTGTGGCATCTACATGAACAAACCAGATTGTAATAGCAAGCAGGGTAGCAGAGACATAGGCTAACAGAGTGGTCTTTGGAGTGAGTTTTTGTGCCCTTTTTCCTATAGAGAATTTAGCCACCACTTGGTGAACATCACTTTAATACGGCACCTGTTGTGTAGATAGAGCAAGATGCAGTGGAAAGAGGAGAAAACAGTCCTGAGTGTGAGTACCTCTCGTTCTGAGGATTGGCTGTGTTTTCATGATGGAATTTGCTTCTAGGTATAGGATTCCTTATGCAGTTTTTAGAAACCCAATTTGGTGATGATGCATTTCTTCTGGAAGGTGTCTGTAAGATGTTGGTTCTTGGAAGTCGGATTTTATTTATGTGTTGAGATCAGGCCTTGCTATAGAGCTCTAGTCAGCCCAGTATTCATTCTTTTGGGACTTTAATGTGGCATTTCCTCCTGATGGCTAAGATGTCTATGAGAAATCGTTGTCATCTTACAATGATTCCCTAATGCGTAACTTGGCACTTTTTTCTTCCTGTTTTAGAATCTGTCTTTCTTGTGCATAGGTTGACTACACTGTGCCCTTTTGTGGTCTTTCGGGCCTCCTGAACCTGAATGTCCATATTTTTCTTAAGATTTCAGTTGTTTATGACTATTATATAATCAGTTAGATTTTTCTGTGCCCCCCCCCCCCCATTGACTGTTAGTTCATTTAGTGGCCTCTCCTAAGGCTCAGCTGTTTCTTTGCCCTCTTTCCTTCTGTGTCTGAATGTGTTATCTCAAAAGAATTCTCTTCAGGTTGGGAGTTCTACTTGCCTGGTTGCTGAGGCTCCCACCTGTATGTATTGCTGTTTTACTTACTCAGTTCTTTAGCTCCAGGGTTTCTTTTTGTTTGTGTGTTTGTTTGTTTTCCCAATCTTCATCATTTGGGCTGAATTAGTCATTTTAGTAGGAGCTGTTCTCCTAATGTCATTGAACTGCCTGTCTGTATTCTCTGTATCCCATGTGGCTTCCATGGGACCATTCTTTTGGATTCAGGCATTTTGTTCACCTGTTGCTTGCTTGATTCCTCTAAAGGCATCATGTAAACTTGACGTTTTCATATTTTGTATGTATCCATATTGATATTTATTGTACATCTGGCAGATCCTTGAGTGTCAATAGTTTTGGAGGGTAACTTCTGTAACCTCAGAGATGTTTGATTGCCATGTGACACTGAGTCGGCTTTCATTTGAATATTGTGTGATCTCATGATTTCATCAGCAATAAACAATGGTTTAGGGCTTGGTACATGTGGCACTAGTGTTCTAGCCTGGCCGTTTTTATAACTATGTGGCAATGGGAAAGTTTAAGTGGCCCATGTGTCAGTGTGTGACTGCCTCTTTCTGTATGTATCTGTCTGTCTATACACACATACAACTGGAAAATTATACTATATAGTTGACGTTTCCCTCTTTGGTGTCTTATCACCTGTTCTGTGATATCAGACCTTACAAAGTAGGAAGAAAACTTTTACTTTTTAGTATCTAGCCAGTTTATGGTGCTCAGGTTAGCATAGAAGGACCTAGCCTCGACGGAAGAAATTGCTGTCCCAGAACTGGATACTGAGTTGGGAAGAAATTTCTGGAACCTCCTACCTGTTCCATTGCTTGTCTCCGCCAGCAGAGGCTTAGGAACTTCAGAGGAGCTAAAATAGTCTTAGCAAAAGTGATTTTGTTGGGGCCGGAGAGATGGCTCAGCTCAGGGGTAAAGCGCCGGCTATGCACGCTAATGACCTGAGTTTGTATCCTCAGAACCTACATAAAAACCAGAGACAATAGTGTACATGTGTTTGTAATCTCAGCACACTCCTATGAGCAGCTGAGGGACAAAGACAGAATTCCAGACCAGTTAGCCTGGCAGAGATACTCTGTCTCAAACATGATAGAGGGTGAGGACCAAGACCCAAGGGTTTTCTCTGACTTCGATCTATATCCATCCCTGTACACTACCCCTGTTCTCTCTCATGTGTGTGTGCGCGTGTGCACACACACACACACACACACACATTTTATTATATAACACATGCATTCAGCCGTCTCCATGTTAACTGTTACCTGTGATAATATGTTCCCCAAAAAAAAAACTTAAGAACCCTTCTTTACACATTTAATTCCCCGACAAAGCTCGACGTGACAAGCAAAGCCACCAAGTATATCCTACTTCTCTAACATGGCCTTATCTTCCGGCAGGACATCGATGGCCAGGCACTCCTCCTGCTGACTCTCCCGACCGTGCAGGAGTGCATGGAGCTGAAGCTGGGACCTGCTATCAAGTTATGCCATCAGATCGAGAGAGTGAAAGTGGCTTTCTATGCGCAGTATGCCAACTAAGTCTGCTTCCCCAGGGTGGTGCCTGATTCTGATGATGCTGTGTTTGTGAAGGTTTCCGGGACTGATACCTTGATTTCCTGGGCTTTGTGAAATGGCACATTCGTTGAGGATCTCCAAAAAGCCAGAAGCCCAGGACCTCCTCGAAGCACCAGCCTGTTGGATAGTTCTATGTTTCTGAAGCACACAGAAGGACCACATCAGCAGTTCCTGGGACTGGAGTGGAAGTTCTGAGACAGAACTTTCCCAACTCTTGACTCGCTTCTTGATCTCTGAGTTTTATTTTTCTCCCATCTAAGCTAGGCAGCTTCCTGTAAGCCAAGTTTCCTTACACTGAGGTCCAGGTTCTCAGAAACCAAGATGGACCGGGTGCCTCCAAGCAGAATCCCTGGCTCGCTGGCAGTTTCGCCTGACTTACTCTCTCAGGCTCTTTCGTAGCCCCACGTATGCAAACTACTGTGGTCTGGAGCCACCTGCTTCCCATTTGACCTCATTGACAGCTAGCTCCTTCTCTAACACAACTGTGGACTCTGTTTCCAGATGCTGGTCTAAAACAATGCACTAAGCTCCATCCTCTGTCGGAGGTGCCTTCTCACCAGGATGGCTGCTTACAGTAGACAACTGCTGTGTAAGCAGAGCCTAGAACATTGGCAATGGCAAGCACTTGCCATAGTCCCCTGCAGTACCATAACTTTAGTGTTCCAAGATCACTGTGACCAGTCGGGAGGAGGCCAGTTTGGGGAAATATCAAATTCTGTATTGAAGGAAAAGCTTTCAGAGGGCAAGCCTAGGAAGAGAGTTGGGGAAAGGTTTTGTGAACTAGGTGTAGCCACTTAAAAATGTTAAAGCAGGTCACTGCAAACAAGCCCTTCTGCATCTCTCTCCTGCTAGTCTGACTCGCCACACACTAAGCAAGCACGAGGAAGCAGTAAGGCCTAGCCTAATATAGCAGAGTGAATATGGGGCCTGAACTCAGTTGGTTTCCATCCTGACTGTGCTAATGACCAACGTCATGTCCTTGGGTAACTCCCCACCACTCTGGACTCAAACTCCCAATGAAGGAAAAGTTAGGACACTTAGTGGTGAGGCACTGAGTATACCCTCTCCCCCAGCCTTCTCCTCATTCTTGCTAGAGAGGAACCCAGGTGGGCCAAAATGAGAAAAAGAACTGGGCCACAGAATTTAACCTTACAGTTCCTACATTTCACTCTCGGAGGTTGCTTATGAAATCTCACCATATCATTTATAGAATAATCAGTGGTTATAAAATTTGGCTGATTTTTTTTTTTTTCTAGCCAGTACTTCGGCTGTGTTTTCTCATGAGTGGTTCAACATGTGTTTGCAGACCCAAAGGGACTGAGGTACATCATGACATGGAGGTCACCTCTCCATCTTTTTAAAGGGAAGGAAACCAAACTTTTACTCTGTTCATGAGTGGATGTTCATTTGGGAAGCTTAACTTCACACCTATGTGGATTTTACTGTTTTTCTCTGTGGTTTTCCATGTTTTGTCATAGTCTGTTGATCTTTTCTCTTTGACTAGAGTCTCAACTGTCCCAGAACACGGTGTGACAAACTGATAGCTGCATGTGTTTTGGCAACATTTTAAGGTGTGGTAATTTGTCAGGCTTTGAGATCTGTGGTTGTTTATGCTCACCGTCCTCCACATTGAGCAATGGTGGCTGATGGAACCAGAAATCTAATTATTTGTGGTTGAGACTCTTCCTTAAAGCTGGTTTTCCATTGTCATGCTACAGACCACTGGTGGATGCATATGCCCAGGGACAAGTGATGGTTTATGGTGACCTTTGTGATGCTGTAAGGATGCCCCATGCTGGCGCCTGCATGGTTGGCTTGCAGTTGTTGAATTTCTCTCTCCTAAGCTACGTGCTGAACCTTCCTCAGTTGGCCTGTCTTCTCGGCCATATGCTTTTGGCCATAGATGCTCAGTCTACCGGTCGGAAAGGGTCTCTATTTCAAGATGGTGTGGCATCTCTCCTGTGCTGACTCCTTCTTGGTCCTTCACTGTGGCCTTCTCAAGATGAGCCATTTCGGTTGCATCTGAAACCAGGGTGTGGCTGTGGCATTGCTAGAACACGATGCGCTTTGAGAACAAATGTCACTTTCTCGTGGAATTTCCGGTAATGACTTGGGGAGCAAGTGTTGCTTCCAAACATGGATATTTTTCTAGAGGTCTGCTGAACCCACAGAAAGAACCAGAAGAATGTTACAGAAAACCCAGTCAGGATATGACGGTCATCAGTCAGAAACCCTTCTTCCTGTGGAACCAGATGTCCCAGCCTGTCCTCATCCTTCAGCCTCGTTCTTTGTCTTCTTCACCTTTGGCAAGGAAGAGATGACAGGAACCATACCCGAAGGGTGCCCAGCTAGGAGCCACCCTTATCATAGTGACTGTCAGTGTTCAATTGGCCCAGCCCTCCAGTAGACTTGAGAAGTATTTGAGAACTGAAGGGGATGATTTCTTCTTAGAGGTCTCAGGGTCTTCCAGAGCTTTGGTCCAGGATGGTGTGTTCATCATGCGGGTGACAATTTTGTTACTGGATTGTAAAGAGGGTTTTTTTTTTTTTCCTCTCTAGACTTGCCTGTCCTCTGCTTCTGTCTTAAACACGGGGCTTATTCCCAAGGAGCAGTTTGCTCTAGATCCCCGTTACTATGGCAGAAAAAGAAATGGATCTTATTCACATATTCCACAGCCTGAACACCAAAAAGATTCTTCTCTAAATACCATCAAATGATGCCCTCCCCCCAGTCCTTCCTGGATGCTATCATTTATTCTCTCTTTGATTATCTTCTGGGACCAGAGTCCTCTCCTTCATGTCCCCACACCATGGGCACAGGACACCATTCACTGCCTCCTGTAGCCAGCCAAGCAGGCATCCTACAGTCTGTGCCATGCAGTTGAGGAGTGGAAATGCCACCTCAACTTACATAATGACAGCCCATCATTTATTCCCACTCTGAAGTTTAGGGAGTTTATTTTAGCCCTTAGCTTCCTGAGTGCATTTGTACTGTATTGTAAAAAAAAAAAAAAGAAAGAAAGAAAAATCCTGTCCACAAAATAAACATACCCCGATCAAAGCAGAGTGTACCAGCTACTCAACAATGGTGTCTTTTACCACAGCATCCAACCTGGAGCTCACAGAACTGGTCTGTCACTTTTAAAATTAGATGCCTTTGATCAGAGTCTGACTCACAGTGTTTGAGCTCTATAGCTATTTGAGTCCCTAGACCTTATTTGATCATATTCAAAAAATCATTTTCTGTGTTTGCTTTGATTTGGTCCTCAATAAATTAAAGTGATCCACGCTCTAACACTGCCATATCTGACCTTTTCTGCCATCTTTACACAGTTCCTTTTGATCAGACTTTTGAAGATAGGTCTCTCCTAATCTATCTCAGAGTTCTGAGGGTTCTATGAGACAAATACTGGGCTTGTCTTCTATCTTACACCAACACCCCTTCCTAAAAGTTGTTGCTTGGTTTTGGAAGCACTCGGGGGGTTTCATACTTATTTTGTATAACACCCATTTATATTTATTTCTGTATATAGAAATAGAACAGAAAAGTAGTAGGATCTTCGTTGTGGTTCGACATTGCTGCTTTTGGGTTAGGATAGTGAATATAGGTTCCAGTTCCTCTCTCTTCTGTCTTTGGAGAGCTGTGATTGAGTGTGCAATTATTTGGAAGGAGAAAATGTAAATTAAGATATCTGTAGTGTTTATGGAAAAAGTCTCTGGGGACATCAACTGCTTGTGTCTCTTTGGTGCAATAATAAATAGCAAGAGAAGCTGAAATGATGACCATACAATCCTAGTGACTCTCCTACTTGCTCACGATTCCTCTCTGTTCGCAAATTCTCTGAAAATTACTCTCTTTAACTGGGTTAACTTTTTAAGTTGCTTAATTCTCATAGCTTTTAAAACTAGGGTGGCTTAGAGGTATCCAAAACATGCTATTACAAAACGAAATTATCGTAATTGACTGAAAAATCGTAATTGCTGTCCTGCCTGGTCTCCTTGGGTTTTTAGCTTTTTTAAAGCCTTTGTGGTTTAAATGATAATAATGACTCAGTTTTCTGAGCTATAGACTTCCTCGTTCCATTCTCTTTTGATGGCTGGGACTCAGCACCAGTGAGGATGCGGGTCATGTCGCAGAGCCAAGGCAGAGCAGTGCTTTGGTAAGGACAAAGAGGAACAAACGCTGAAAAAGGAAAAGTCTAGAACAATCTTTTGCTAATAAGTACATTTATGATGAAAACTGCTGGGAAGGGTTTTTTGTTTTTGAATAATAAAAAAGGTAAACATTGTACCTGTCCTTCAGAATGCAAGCTAACACGACCTGTGTAAGCAGTCACTAGTGGCGGGAGCCCTTTATCGTTCATGTTCCACTTGAGAAAGTTTGTGCTGAAATTTGATTCATATTTTGGTATGTTTTGATGCATAAAAGAGAAAAAAATCAGTGTCTTTACTTTTGAAATTTAAAGGACAAAGGGCATGCTCTCTCAGTTTGTTGTAAGATTGTATTCTGTATATATGTTTCCATGTACATAAATGAAAATATATATCAGAGTTATATTTTAATTTTTATTCTAAATGAAAAAACCCTTTTTACTTGAAAACATGGTAAGCCACATTGTTAATAAAGTAAAAATAAATTCTATAGTGGTCTTTGTGTTTATGTCTCAAAGGTTATTAAATATATGTTTGGGGCTTGTCTGAGGGTTATTTTTTTCTGAAGTCTTTGTTTCATTTATAGCATCTACCATTCCATTGGTTAGAACCATAGATGGCCAATTCACCTCATTGTTACGGTTTCTTTCTTACTCAAGCAATGTCTATCTAGTCTAGTTTCATTCTTAATTGGCTTTGATAAAACACTAACCAGAAGCAACTTAAAGAATGACTTGTTTGGCTTACACTGCCAGGTCACAGTTCATCATTAAGGGAAATCTGGGCAGGAATGAAGAAAACGAAGCAGAAATTGGTTCTCTGTCGTAGGCTCATGCTTACATAAGCTAGCTCCCTTATACGACCCAGGAACCACCTCCCGAGATCCGGGGAAAGGACTCAATTGTTAAAGTGCATGCCTTGTAATCGTGATGACCCACGTTACATATTATAACCCAGGTGAACATACCTGGAGTGATGATGTGCACTTTGTCATGTGGAGGTGGGGACATGTGGCTCCCAGGGCTCACGGACCAATGACTCTAGCCTGACTGGTGAGCTTCAGTTCAGTGAGAAACCCTGCTTCATAGAAGGTGAACATCCTGGCCATGATTCCAAAGATTATTACCTGACCTTCACACAAGTACATACATGGGCAGATACACATGAACATGCACACACAGACACATGAAAGTTGGGCTGTTTATTTTCATAGCATTCCTGGCCTTCCCAATTTCAACCGTCTTTCACGATACTTTGGGAGAAAGATGGCTTTATTTCTATAGGAGCCCCAATTAAATAACCATATTGGTACATCTTATGACTTGTTGTCACAAGTCTCGAGTATCCAAGTAAGAAGAGAACAACAGCCTGTGGCAGTGGTACCGCACACCTGATTTCTGCCTGGAAGAGAATCCCCTTCCTTGTCTGTCATGACTGACACCACTCAGGGAGGTTGAGAAGGTAAAAGAGGGTTAGAGCCCTGGGTAACGGAGCTGGAGAAAGGAGCCATTTCTCCTTTTATCCAGTAGTGAGCTCACTTTAGATTTGCTTTTGGTCCTGCTAATGTTCAAAATCTGCATATAGAAAATTTTATTCTATTTTAATTATGGATGCTTTTTAAAAAAATTTATTGATGACACAGGTTTATACTTTGCGGTTCAAACTGCCCTCATACTCAAAATCCTCCTGCCTCAGCTTTTCTACATAAGTGTGTGCTACCATGCCTGGCTCACATGAGGGAGTTTTTATTTGTTTGTTTATGACTTATTTAAATACAAAGCTTTAACAAAAAAGGCAGAGGCCACACAATAAGAAATATCGTTTGTTTTTTCCCCAGTATACCAGCAGCTGAGGATTGTGCAGCTGGATACTCACGGCCATCATATTTCTACTTACACTTGAAAACAGAAGTTGAACACTTTCAAATCTCTAAATTGAATAAATCAGAGCAAAAAAAATTCCATGTTGTCCTGAGAACCCTGTTTTTACTTTTTTCTTCTACTTAGCCAGACTGTGTAGAACTTTCAGTTCACTAGACATTATTTCTCCTTTGTTCTCAGGTTTGTGGTACAACTGTTTTAAGTCTAAGAAAGCACAATGCTTACTAGAGATTCAAAGAATGGTATTTTTTTTAATGCTAATTGTGTGACCATGACCTTGGGTGACTCCATATGGTAACCAGAAAGGTGAAAATACTACCTAAGCTACAAACAGTTGTCAGAATCATTTCTTGAAGACATGTTTATGACATTGGCTCAGGCATGGGTCACAGCACATCTCTGTGAATGTAGTTCGGTTATATCAAAGTTTTGGTTAGTGTTGTTTGTAGATGATATGTCCAAATGATAAATCATGGTAATAAATAAAAGGAAGGTTTGCTTTGTCACTCTAATGACAGCTCAACACACAATGACCACTGCTGTGCTTTCTCACTTAACCTCAAGATTTGTTTTGTGCTTAAACTGGCTTCTTTGCTGTGAAGTTTTAGAATAGTAAATATAATAAAGTGATACATATGTTATATAAGCATATACAGAAACATAAAGTATATATACAATTAAGTTTCTCTATATATTATATATAGGTGAATATGTATATGTATATATGTATTACATATCATGGGTGTGTGTATGTGTATGTATGTGGTGTGTGGGTGTGTATATGAGGTGTGATGGTATGCTGAGAGAACTCAAGACAAAGACATAATACAGCTATTGCATATTTCACTGCTTTCAAATATTCTATCACTTTCTGGTGTGGGAGAATTGTTCGTATTCTGTCAATCATGTTTTAAATGATTAGCTGGTTGGCCAGGCAGGAAATATAATAGGCGGGAAAACCAGACAGGAAGTAGAAATGATGCAATGAGAACAGGAGAATTCTGAGAAAAAGGAAGTTGACTCTCCCACTCCTGCCCAGACCACCGAAGCAGCAGGATGTGATCTGGCCCACTGAAAAAAGGTACTGAGCCACATGGCTAACATAGATCAGAAAAATGGGTTAATCAAGATGTGAGAGTTAGCCAGTGAGAGGCTAGAGCTAATGGGCCAATCAGCTTTATAACTTATAGAGATCTATGTGTGATTTTCTTTGGGGCTAAACAGCTGGGGGTTCCTGGTGGGAGGACAAAAAACCCAACAACAAACAAGCAGGCCCCCATTCATGTTATACTTCCCAGTTATATAACAAAAAAACTTCAGTTTTCTACGAAATGTAAAGAGTTATACACCTTTACATGAATAATAGGATTAGACACAAGATAAATTGCTGTGTTGTTCTTAGCCCAAAGTAGGTACCTCGGATTCTCACCTCTATGGATCAATTCCTGGGTCTTTGACCATTTACCCATTGCAATATCCTGGCCCCCTTGGGCATGGCTGCATTCATACTCTTCTTGTAAGTACTACCAACTAGGTAGGAAGACATAAACGAAATAATAATGCCACAATATCTTGGCAGTATTGATGCTAAAGTCAGAGGCCAGGAATAGTTGGTATAGTAGAGATGCCATGTAGTTAGGACTGGGGCAACTCCAGCCTCCTTTCAACAATAATACAGTTCAGAGAGATGTTGATTGTCTTGACATCTGGATTTGCCACAATGTGATGGCATCCTGCCGGCTGGAACTGATTTATAAGCACATCGGCAAACTGTATCAAGTCGGAGACAGTAGGTGGCCCCCATCAATATTTAGAGACTTGTTACACAGCTAAAGATTTTAGAAGTCCAGGGGATTGTTCCAAAAGCTCCCCTCCAAAGACAAGTTGTGGTTTCTACATTGTGCTCATATCTAAGGCACAACACATGGCTGGCTTCAAAAGGATAGCCTTGAACTTCTGACCCTCCTACATCCACCCATGGAGAGCCAGGATTATA